ACTTATCTGCCTTCATGGTATTATGAAAAGGGTTAATCGCTCTGATTGTCTTCATCAATGTTTCAGAAACCCTCATTGTTTGATTTTTGTCCCGTCAATAAACGCATGATTAGAAGCTGTTACTAGAAGTAACACATACACACCCTATGAGGTTTTGCGCAACATTAAGAACCGGTTAACGCCAAAACTCAGGGAGCTAAATATGCCTTACACCCATGTGACCATTCCACTTCTTCCATGGATTTATAGCAGCGATTTCAAAAGGCAGAGTTTAAAAGCCCCTGCATGTAGGGAGTGGAGACGATTCAGATGCACTGTCTGGGCTTCCTGAGCCAGCTCAGCTGAGCCCAGGCACCTGGGTTTGCCTGTAATGTGGTCGGCCAGGTCTGCTGGTGCTTGGAGCACAGGAGGACACAACCCTGTTTAAAGACATATTTCGATGTATAGAAAGATTGGGGCTATGTTAGTCCTACGGTAGTTCTTGTCCTCTTTTCTAAATGGGATGATTAAAGATGCTAACTTTGCTGTGTCCCAGGCACACAAGGCAAAAAAACTTTATCACATGGAGTGTTCGGATTGTTTCGCATTGCAGTGGCTGCTACTTGCTACAAAAGGAAAAGCAGATGCATATGAGAGACGCATGCATTTCTTCATAGCTCTGATGCTGCAAAAAGGTAAAGCAAGATCCTTTACTCTGTCTGAAATCCAAATTTCAGCTGTAGCTTTCCATGTGCACCATCTTCTTATTTTGGGAATAATTTCTTCCATTTTCCTATGACTCTTTCAAGTACAAAATCTACATGCAATTCAAGTAGGACTACAACTACAAAAAGGTCGTGGATTTTACTGGTGATGAAAATTCCAAGCTGCCCTGATACTTCTTTCACACACAAACTTCTTATTTTCTAGTTTTAAAATGCAAATATGTCCAGAATTGCTTCCTGAGCTTTTCTGTGGGCGGAAGAAAAAAAAAAAAGAAAAAAAAAGAATAGAAGAACATTTGTGATTAATACTTAGTAACATTTTTGGCAAGGAATACTTTTGGAACAACCTCTCCTTCAGGATGCGCTGTCGAACAGTTTAGTTCTTTGCAGCCACCAAAGAAACCCAAACTGAAACCTAAAAACCCCTTTTTGCCTACATAGTCCTCTGGTTCTGTGACCTCCAGTCCCTGAGGAACGAGCTGCTCCTGCTCATTGTAATGCTGCTTCTTCCTTCCCAAGGTATATAAGCTGGGAAGGGAGAAGGGATGTTCCCAGCTGCATTCTCGTCTACTTCCAGCCCTCTTCTCCAATGAGATTTGTGTCATGTCTTGAGCTGTGCTGTGCTCTGATACAGCACAATCCCAATAGCAGGTTTTTGGAGCCCAAGGATTCAATTTTTTCCTTTACAATCTGAACCAGGCACATTTTCATTACTGGCGAAAAGCATTACATCAAGGTGTGTATAAGACCAAATCTTTTTCCCTAGCTGCAGTTAATACTTTCTCCCTCAGAGCTAATTATTTTGAAACATATTCTTTTCTATTCAAATTGGAAAAGAAAGTTTCTGGGAAACTAACATAGCAATAATTTGCCCTGTGTGTTGAGTAATTATAATCTCTATCCATTAGGAAAAAAAGGAGGTGAGCAGATATTGATTTACTCCATCAAAAAAAGAGCAAGTAGTAGTACAAAATTGCTGTAGCCAGTGCGTGGATTATTGAGGTTTTGGATCAGGTGTATAGCATCTAGTTCTCATTTCTGATTCACTGTTGGGTCAGTTAACTAGAGAATGCAGTTATTTGTTTACCCAGTTGGTGTATTTCACTTTTGCAGAAATAAAAGCACATTTTTTTAAAGATGATGAGTAATAAATATAAATTTTACTGTAGGTATGCTGATCTAGGGAATATATAAGTCTTTTGAAGAATGCTAACATTATTCTGTTAAAAATAAGGTAGGGGAATTTTTTTGTAACTGTTTAGATTGTTCTTCAGTATTCTTTCTGGCTGGTTATCCACTACAGGAGTAAACTGTAATGTAACTCTGATAAATTGGTATACAAAAGGTTGCTGAAAAAAAAAAAAAATTGACAATTATTTTGTATAACCAAAAATAAATGTAGCCTCTATTTCGGTTGGTGTGAATAAAGAGGTATTTTGAAGATAGATGTGGAAGGCAGATAAGAATAAAGCACAAAGGGCCTGCTTAAAGATTATGTATTCTAGCACTTCCCAGTGTTGAGAACTGTTAGGCTGAATAGCCTTGCTTAGCACTAGTAGCTAAAGTAGTTGAAGCCTTAGGCCACAAGAGATGACTGAGAGTAAACTTTTTGATAAAACTAATGCTGCAAACACAGAACTAGCTGAAACCAGCAGATGCAAACAGAATGAAGAAGATAAGGACCAAGGAAAGAATTCCATGAGAATGAGGTAACTTCAGAAGGTGGGCCAGCCCAGTGACGGAGAAAACCCATAAGAAATCAAGAGACCACCAACCAGAATTAAGTGATTGGACTTGGGGATTGAGTGCTGGGTGGTACGGGTACGATTGGGGGGCGTGATCTGGGGTAGGGGTCCCTCGTTGGAGGCACCCAGCTCCAGCTGCTCTGCATGTTGGATAAATAAACCACTTATTTACTCAGCAGATTGGAGACTCATCTTCTTCGAGCAGGAACCTAGGGCCAAGACCTGTTGAGATGGCATCTGCATAGTTCCTACCATAGTCTAGATGGTGGCAGCATAATTTCTGCTACACCACAATGATGTATTTGAACACTGTGCCATCTTACTGTTGCTGGGTGATGTTGTCGGGGTAGAGTGGATTTAGAGAAGAAAAAGAAAATTGCTTTGAACTGAATAGGAAAGAACATTAAAGAACACAAAAGATGGAAGAATGTGCTGTCATGTTTTTATATTCACACTATTTGCTTTATTAATTTTGGATGTTCACCCTCCTGTGGGATAAAATCGTTATGTTTGCTATTCTTGCTGAGCCTAAATCCTAGTACTTTTACCTCTGGTGAAAAGAGCAACTACATACGGTAGTGATTTTTTATCATTTCAGAAACTTTGGTCTCAGCACTGATGGAAAAATAATGGATGTGTTAGAATCAGGCCTGATGATGTGTGTGTGTGTGTGCAGGTAGAAATGCTATGTTCACATTATAGCCCCCTAATATTGCCTTATCAGTCATACCGAGATTGGAAGCAGCAATCATAAGCAACATTTTCTTTTGTGTTGAGTGAAGAGTTTCATAAGCCTAGACATAATTTCACATTCTGAAACAGCTTTCTTAAAAAAAAAAAAAAACCTGAAATTTCTGTGAAACCTGTGTTAATGAAGCATGCAGTATGGAGCATACAAAGTCAAGAAAGGCAAAAAGAATGCTTATGGATTCCCGAACTGGGAGACAAAAGGCACCGCTGAGCTCCTACTTTAACTCAGGCAACAGGGCTGCCATGTGACAGCTGTTGTTTGAACTAAGGTCTTTTGTTAGGACAACATAACTGACTTTGACTTTTACGTGACTGATTATTGAGAATAATAGCCACTGACAAATTGTTCCACTGATCACCACCACTATCACATTATAAGCACTTTTAGTATATGATATTTTCTAGAGTCCCTTTCTAGCAACCCACACATCCCCTTACATGAAAACCTAGCAACTAGAATATACTATGTTTTATTAATATTTTTAGGTACTGGACATATAGAGAGGCCCCGAATATGCAAACTGTGTTTCAGAGTTTGCACTAAGGCACTTGGAGAGCAGATCTGTAAACTCCATTTGAAGCTGCTGGAGAACTGAGTATGGAGGATGCCTCTTACCATTGGATATCTGAAATCCAATCTAAGAGATGCCCATCAGCCTTCAAGCTGAAATTCACTTTGATAAATTGGTGGCCTATTTAAGAGAGACCTGGTGCCTGCCTCTGAAACTGTGCTACCGAACAACATGCAATCAGTGCTAGAAAGGTTGACTTTTGTGATTCTGTGGTCCCTGTATGGACTACGTGTGTTCATGAATCCGCAGAGTATGCTTGGAATTCAGGATTATTCAGATCCAGTTTGAGAGATGGTGATAATGGCTTGGATCTGTATCTACAGCATCACAGCAAGCATATGATGGAGTGATTCAGCCTGCAGTTTGACGCTGAAAGACTTTAGGGCTGATCAGTGGCTATATGGTAAACTGATAATTTAAGAAGTCAGCCCACAGTGGCTAGTTTCTTAGTTTTTAATAGTTTTAATACAATTAATGAACTATAAATACAGGACAGGTCTGGTAGGTATGAAAAAATATTCATCTTCACTTTGTGTTTTTAGTTACACGGGGAATACTCACTCCCTAAAGCAGTCCTAGGGAAAAGCTGTGCAAGTTACTGTAAAAATCACATGCACAGCAGAATTATTTAAAAAATTGCTTAAAAAATAATTTTAGAAAAGACTTCTGTGTTCTATTAATCACTGGGCTATTCATAACAGCTTATTAAGATAAATGCCACTTATTACTACATAAATTCTCTTACAGTACAGTGCACTGTAGATCTCTTACTTTACTACAAAAAAAAAAAAAAAAAGAGCACCATCAAGTGGTAGATGTTGTTACAGCAGTTACAATAATGTACGTAGATAAGTTTCCTGTAGTAATAATTTTGACCCTTTCCCGATTAGAAAATTACAAAAGCATTTTTTTCCTTCAAATTACAACACATAACACGAACATGCTTAGAATTAATAGTGGTGTATCACACAAGAAATATACATATCACAATCGTAAAAGTTGAATAAAACTCTAAGAAAACCATATCGCCTAGAAAGACAACAAGGTTTTTTTTATTGAAAACCTTTAGTTACAGCAAATCACTTGTTGCCCAGGTAAAGTATATGTTCCCTGACACAGAGAATTAAGAGAATATTTTATGGGAATTAACCTTAAAGTGGGACTTAAAAAGAGACTACAAATTAAGTATTCACGCTAAGGAATTAAACATTTCTTTCAGTATTTGACCGTACAGCCCTTTTACTGAAAAGGTGGGTGGCTCTTAAAAGAGCCTTTGGGTTAAAACGGACGATCCGAGGCGCTCTACTTGGAGCTGGTGTACTTGGTGACCGCCTTGGTGCCCTCGGAGACGGCGTGCTTGGCCAGCTCGCCGGGCAGCAGGAGCCGCACGGCCGTCTGGATCTCCCGCGAGGTGATGGTGGAGCGCTTGTTGTAGTGCGCCAGGCGCGAGGCCTCGCCGGCGATGCGCTCGAAGATGTCGTTGACGAAGGAGTTCATGATGCCCATGGCCTTGGACGAGATGCCCGTGTCGGGGTGCACCTGCTTCAGCACCTTGTACACGTAGATCGAGTAGCTCTCCTTGCGGCTCTTCTTGCGCTTCTTGTCGCCCTTCTTCTGCGTCTTCGTCACCGCCTTCTTGGAGCCCTTCTTGGGCGCGGGGGCGGACTTGGCCGGCTCAGGCATGGCAGCGGACGCGCAGCTCTCACGCACCAACACACAGCACAAGCACGAGCTGAAAAGCAACCTGAGAGGAAGTGGCCTCACGCCACGTATTTATAGCTCTCTTATGCAAATGAGGAGGATTCCCTCTGCGTACTTTCATTGGTCATAACACAGCACGCGTCATAACTCCCCTGTAGCCGTTTTTTATTGGTCGCAATTCGATCCCCATTCTCATTGGCTGCCCAGAGGAGAACTACTTCTCAGCCTATCAGCGAAGGGGCGAGGTGGGAAAGTGAGGCTATAGCTGAGGAGTGCGGGCCGCTTGCTCCGTTCTG